CATGTCCAGCCCACACAGACCTTCTGAGCTGTGCTCCTGTTCTGACTGCAGCTTTCTGCCTTGCAGATTCCTGATAAGCAGTATGTGCTGACTGCCCTGGCAGCCCGTGCCAAGCTGCGGGCCTGGGGTGACGTGGATGCCCTCCTCACCACCAAGGTGAGCTGCAGAAAGCCTTGCTGGGGACACAGTCCTAAGTACTGGCATCTGCTACTGATAGCTGGCTTGTTCTGGAGTTTGTGCACAGACTGGTTTTATTTCAGCAGGGCCCAGCACCTCTGCTGCAGAGTGTTGCAATACTTTCCTCCTCTCCCTGCCTGAGACCTGTGCTGGGCCTGGCTTGGCTGCAGCAATAAGGTCAGAGAGGGGGCTGCCCCTGAGCTGTTACCAAAGGGATTGCAGCCAGCCTGTGCCCAGCCACTGCATGAAGCGCGCTGCCGTGGGGTGCATGTGGTGGCTGTGGAGTATGTTACTGGCACTGGGAGAAAAAAACCCACATTTTCTTGTGGCTGGAAGGATTATCCTTTGGGGTTAACATAGATTTGGTTCTCATTTCAGAACTGGCTGGGTTACACCAAGAAGAAGGCACCTATTGGCTTCCACCGGGTGGTGGAGATCTTGCAGAGGAACAATGCTCCTGTGCAGGTGAGCCAGGAACCCCTGCTTATGTCCTGCTCTTGGTTGGGATTTGGTGTATGAATGACTCCTCAGGTAAGCTGCTTCCTAGCTGGAAGCGGGAGAAGTTTGCTGATCTTCTGGCTTTGCCAGGTGGGTGCAGCACACAGTGAGTGACCCATGCCTCAACAGAAGGTGTGGGTGGTATTGAGGGCCGGGTCCTAGCTCTGACTGCAAGAGGGACAGCTGGCCAAAGTTGACTGGGAACTCTCTTCCCATGTGCATTGCCACTTTTCTTTGCTACATTAAATTTTCTCTTTTTAATCTGGCTGGCAATTGTTAACTTGATCCATAGCAATGAGGTAGCCTAACAGTCTGTTGCTAGGAGGAAAAGTGCCAGCAAAACCCCACGTGTGGGCATGAGGAGAACAGACTTCAGACTGCTCAGGAAATTGGCAAGGTCCCCTGGAAAAAGGTTTTTGCAGGCAGTGGGGTCCATCAGTCAGTAAACCTGACCTTCTAAGGGTACAGTAGCAGGCAATTCCCAGATGTTGGAAGTCAGGCAGGTAAGGCAGAAGGCCAGCTTGACTGAACAGGAATCTTTTCTTGGAAATAAGATAAAAAAGGAAGGGGTAGAAGCAAGGTCAAATGACATGAGAAGAATACAGAGATGCTGCTTGCCACTGGGGAGAAAATTTTGTGCAGCCAAAGCTTTACTGAAGTTGAAGCTAGCCAGAATTGTGGGGGACAAAAAACAGTTTTTACAAATATTTTAATGGCAATGGGCAGTGTAGAAATAACATTGGCCCATTATGGGGGGATGGTCACCTCATAAATGGATGATGGATCAAGTGGGTCTCAGTGCTCTGAGCTGGACTACAATGACTGCAAAAACAATCACCTCCCAGTTGACCCTGAATCTATGCAGGATCTGCTGCTTCAGTTGGAAATCTATGGGGCATGATGGCATTCATCAAAGAATCCTCAAAGAGCAAGCTGATGTCATCACAAAACCTCTCAATGATTTTTTGAGTGGTCTTGGGAATCTGGAGAGATCCCAGATGACTGGAGGCTGGTTAATGTCCCAATTTTCAAGAAGGCAAGAAGGAAGACCTTGGAGACTGTAGGCCTGCTAGTCTCATTTCAGTGCATGGTAAAGTTATGGAGAAGATTATTCTGGGAAGTATTGAGAAACCTGGAACACAACACAGTCATTGGTCACAGCCAGCATGGCTTCATGAGAGGAAAGTTCTGCTTGTCAAATCTGATTTCCTTTTATGACAAGGTAACCCACTTGGTTGATCAAGAAAAGCCACTCCATGTAATGTTTTTGGATTTCAGTAAAGCTTTTGATGTCCCTTGGAGTATCATTCTGGACAAAATGTCCAGCACACAGCTGAATTACCAAGTGATGAGATGGGTGAGCATCTGGTTCATGAGTTGGGCATAAGGATCACAGTAAATAGGATGACTTCAGACTGGTGACTGGTTACTAGTGGGGTTTCACAGGGCTCCATCCTTGGCCCTGTGCTCTTCAACATCTTTATAAATTACTTGGATGCACAACTGGAGGAGATACTAAGCAAGTTCGTAGATGATACAAAACTGTGAGGTGTTGTTGACTCCCTAGAAGGCAAGGAGGCTCTGCAGAGAGACCTCAACAAATTAGAGCTGGGCAGTCACCAAAATTAAATGGAGTTCAGCCAGGGAAAAGTGATGTATTCTGCATCTGGGATGGGGCAACCTTGGATGTATGGACAGACTGGGGAATGAGAGACTGGAGAGCAGCACCATGGATCCTGGTCACTGGCAAGTTGAACCTGAGCCAGCAGTGCCCTGGCAGCCAGGAGGGCCAGCCCTGTCCTGGGGTGCATCAGGCACAGCATGGCCAGCCAGGCAAGGGAGGGGATTGTCCTGCTCTGCACTGGGGCAGCCTCACCTCCAGTGCTGGGGGCAGTTTTGGGTGCCACAATATAAGAAGGTTATAAAACTGTTAGAGTCTCTAAACGAGGGCCATGAAGATGGTGAAGGGTCTTGAGAGGAAACTGTATGAGGAGCAGCTGAAGTTACTTGGTCTGGAGAAGAGGAGACTGAGGGGAAACCTCATTGCAGTCTACAACTTCTTTGTGAGGGGAAGAGCAGGAATGACCAGTGACAGGACTCAAGGGAGTGGCCTGAAATTGTGTCAGGGAAGGCTTAAGTTGGATATTGGAAAGAGGTTCTTCACCCAGAGGGGGATTGGGCACTGGAAACGGCTCCCCAGAGAAGTGGTCACAGCATGAAGCCTGACAGAATTCAACAAATATTTGGACAATGCTCTCAGGCACATATTCTGACCCTTGGAAATAGTGCTGAGCTGGGACAAGAGTCAGACTCTATGGTCCTTGTGGGTCCCTTCTAACTCGGCTTTTTCTGTGATTCTGAGCTTTGTAAGCAACGCATCTGGGATCCTGAACAGTCTTGTTGAGGTCACTTGTTCCCTAAAGAAGGGGTCAGCTCTGTGTGACCAACAGCCTTGAAAGGTTTTGGGACTGCGGTGAGGGAATGAGGGAGGACATACCTGGGGAAGGAAGCTGATTCTTCTGTCTCTCACAGGTGCTGCAGGAATATGTGCGCCTGGTGGAAGATGTGGACACCCGGCTGAACCTCGCTACCAAATACAAGTGCCATGATGTTGTCATAGAGGTAGATTGCTGCTGTGTGGAGATGGGACACGGGCCTGCTTTTTCTCTCTAGCTTTTCTGTTCCCTGCTGTGTGCCACTTCTCTCATGTGCCTGGTGGTGTTTGTTTATCCCTGTGGCCTGGGAAGAAGATAAGGTTCCCAGTAGAAGTCCATGAGCCTGGAGAGTGGCTCTTAGCATTTGTGCTGTGAAATTTTTCTGGGTTGGGAACTGCATGGGGGATTGTAGAGTCTGCCCATCTGCAGGCACCACCTAGCCACAGAAGTGTCCCTTTCTCTCAGCCGGGTGTTGGTTTTGCCCTTTATCTAGACCTACCGGGATCTAAAGGATCGTATCCAGCTGACAGCATATAAATGCAAAGTGGAGAGGGGCTCTGCAGAAGAAGAGAAGATACAAAGCATTCTCAGCAACATGGTAAGAAATGCTTATTCTTTCTTCCAGACTCTCTCACCAGAAACAGGTAGAAATTAGGTGTAGGGGCATGGCTGTCCTGTGTACTTTCTATCCCTGCTGGGAAGCTAATCTTTGCATTCAGGGTAGGAATGAATGGTTATACTGATAGAAATGCCACGCTCTGGCCATAGCTGTCCTTGTCAGGAACTGGGAGTCACTAAATTGGTCCCTAGGGCTCTATGTTCAGTGTTGCTGTTAGTCATGTCCTCTTCTCTCTTTTAGCAAATCCGGTGGAAGAACTGAACACCTGTGAAACAGCCTGTTTGGCCATCGCCTTGTCACTGAAAGAGGAACTGCAAAACCCAGTCCAGTGCCAACAGAGCAGCTCTGTTACTACTCATTGCATGATCAACGTTGGTGACAGTGGGTGCCTGTGGCTTGTGGGACTGTGGCACTCAGGCTGGTTGAAGACAGCTACTAAGCTGTAGCTGGCAAAACCATGGTACCGATCCATCAGGGTTGATTCTTTTTGGAATCCGATTGTATTTGACCTGGCTGTAAGCCAGGCATCACTTGTGTGTGTGGAGGGAAGTTGCTGGGCACAGCAAGATGCATGTTTGCTCTGGGTGGTGCCTGGGCTTGTTCTTGCAAGAGGATCGTTTCAGTCACATTTGTGAGTCTCTCCAAGAGACGGCTGACCAGTCCCTGTAACAGTCAAGCTGGCTAGGGCATCACTAATCATGGCTGTGGCTGGAGTAAAACCTTACCTGGACCACCTTCTCCCTGTGTGAAAGTGCTGGGAGGCAAAGGACCAGTTGCTTTTTTTTTTTTTTAAATTCTGGCTCACTCTAGGAAAAGAGGTGTGTGAACTCCTGCAGAGAGCCAGGACAGCAACCTCTGCCAGTATCCTTCTGCTAGCACTGCAGCATTTGGAAGATGTCTTGATCAGGAAAATACCTGGTGTAGAGGTGGTCAGAGTCCTGATGGGTTGGATGGAGAGCAAGCAGGGACCTCTCTCAGGGGACACAAACCTGCTGGCCCCAGCAGCTCTTTTCTCAGAAAGTGTTATGCCAGGAAGGATTGAAATGCACTTTCTCAGAAACACAACTCCTCAGGCAGCTGCTGGCTTCATCCTTTCAGACCTCACTTCAATTCTGTAAATAAAGCTGTCTCTTTCTCCTTGGCCTGTTTCTTTCCTTTCCCCACTAAGTACATTGTCACTCTTGTGTGTTAATCCTGAGCAATTTATCACCTCCCACAAAAGGAGTTGCAGGATGTTTTTTAATGTTCTGAAAAGCACAGTGCATGTCATCATGGAGTGACATTGCTTGCAGCAGTACCTTACTTAACACCTTCAGTGCTCTCAGCACAGATGAATTAATTTTAGAGAGTTTGTGGGAGAGTTCGCTGCCATAGCGGGTCACACAAACATGAGAGTGGATTTGGATTCCAGCCTCCCTGCTGCACTATGAACTCTCTTTTTTTTCTTATGGAATCATTTGGGCTGGAAGAGACCTCTTGATCATCTAGTCCGCTCATGCTTTAGCAGGATCACCTGGAACAGGCAGACCAGGACCCTGGCTATGTGGGTTTTCAGTATCATCACAGCTGGAGATAACTCAGCTTCTCTGGGAAATATGTTCTGGATTTGGCAACACTCACAGTAGAAGGTGGGTTTGTGTCTTCAGATGGACCAGCACATTTCAGTTTGTGTCCAGTGCCCCTTGTCATCACTGGGCACCACTGAAGAGAGTCTGGGTCACTTTCTTCACTCCCTGTCATCACATACTGTGACAAATGGATAAGATTGTCCTTGATCTAGGGCCATTTTAGGTGAGGTATACTAAAATTAATAGTAACAAGTCTAATACAGCTTGTATTTTTATGTAGCTCATACTAGTTGAGTAAACAGATGTCATCTACAAGCTGCATATATAGTCATATAACTCCATAAACTGTTAGATAAGAAGAGAGTGGTCCTCCAGGGAGATGTTTGGAATAAAACCCTCTTTCTGATCATCTCAGGGAAGAAAAAAAAACCAGGGTTTATTAGATAGATTTTTATAGATATTGAAAACCAGCCAGATCCCAAGGCTCAGCTGCTTCAGCTAAAGACTTTAAATCAGCCTGCAAGGACTGGGCCAGGCAGTTGAGCTCTTTGCTTATTTATTAATTTGTGTCACTCTGCTGCTGCCCTTTGCTGTGTAAGAACAGTGATGGGCAGCCACCAAAGTCCCTGTGTGCCACTTTGGGCAGGCAGACACTGCTGCCAGTCTGGTAGCAGTGGTTTGTGTTTCACCTGCATGTGGCAGAGCACAGGTAAATGTGTTCCAGTGCCTAGAGGTGTGCTGGTTCATCAGCTCTCCTGTCTCTCTGAGCTTTTGAGTCTCTTTCACCTTGCTTAGTGCAATAGCCCTGCAGAAGCAGAGCTTTACCTACTTCTGTAACAATGCTTAGGTGGTGGCCTGGGAGGACATTGTGTTCCTCTGCTGCCTCCTGTCACACATGCTGTCCATCTGCTGTCATTTGTCCTGTCACTGTGTGCAGCCTTGACACCTCCATCCGTCCCCTCAAGAAAAATGGACCATGTCATTTCAGAGCCTGGAACTGTCACCAAACTCAGGAAGAAATTAAACTCTCTGACCCTATCTTTGAGATGTCAGTGAGTTGCATTACTTTATTCTGCCAGGATGTGCAGTGAAAATCATTCCATCTGCACATGTCCTGTACAAGATTTTAACATATTTATACATTTATCAAAAACAATTTTTGAGCAAACAAGCTTTATGTCATGTGTGGCCCTATGTCAGGTTTTTTTATGCTGGCAGACTCAACATGTAACTCATTCTTCTTAACACACAAAATATTCACATACTGCATTGAACTCATACAACTCCCTTAGAGTTAAAAGAACTAAAAGCAGCTGAGCAAACTCCAGCACAAAAGCTGCTAACATACTGACTTACATGTGGCCTAAAAAACTTCACAGTGCACCTTTCACCATACACTTTCACTGCAGGATTTACTGCAGGACTCAAACCTGCAGTTTCTGGGTTTTACCACTGGATGGAACTCGAACCCATTGTTTCTACAAAAGGGGACCCAAAACATCGAACAACCACCCTGTAATCAGTGCGTTGCTGAGTGCGCTTCAAGCACCCCTGCTGCTCACCGTGCCATCTTGGCAGAATGGTTGGACGACTCTATATGCAGCCTGTCAAGGACTGCTGGTTACTCAGTTAGTATGAGCTATAAAATACAACCTATATTAGACTTGTTACTATTAATTTTTAAATCCCTCACCTAAAATGGTCCTCGATCAGAGATTTCAAACCAAACAGGTCTGGTTGTCAGTGTGATTCCTCCCAGCAGTGTGAGATGAGAATATCTCTTCACGTCTGTGTGCATACTGGTAATTTATACTTCATTTTAATTTATAGTTCATCCTGCAAAGAAAATAAAATTCCATTAATAGATGGTGGTCATTTTTTATGCAGGCCTGAACAGCATCATGTGGCAGAATCTGCCTCACCAGAAGGTACTGAAACTAAGCAATGACCTCAACTTTCCTGAATGCTGCCTCATCTGTGCAGAGCAAAAACCTTCCTGCCCAGCTTTGTGTGCAAGAGTTTTGTCAGCAAAGATTTGCCTCTCCAGTTACTCAAGAGGAGAAAGACAGTTGAAGGCTGAGGTGCTTCTTGTCTCTGCTTTGCAATTTGCCTCATCTCACATAAAGCATGGGCTGCCTTGTTGGGTTGGAAGGTGCTGAACTCTATGCTATCCTTAGGACCACATCTCTGCCCCAGGAACTGCCTTTGATGATGTTTTAGCAACAGAAGACCTGGACTGAGTTATTTTGTCCCTAGATCCTACTTACCAGGGTTGTCTGAAGCAACTGATCAAGACTAGGGCATTGGATGCAAAAAAAAAAAAAAAAAAATCCTATGGGAATATCTAGAGATATTGGGGGTAATGATCTTATGACAGTTCATGAACTGGGCTATTGAGGATGTTAAGATGGGAAGGCTGCTCGAGGGAAAGCATTCCTGCTTTTTCAGGACTGTTCTAGAGCCATTAGTCTGTTTAACTTCACTTGACCAAGTGATGCCTGCAACATTTTATATCCAAGTCTCTGAGTTTGATGGTTTCTCAAAGACCCAAGAAGGAGTCTTGTAGTCAGACACTGAAGAAAACCACTATTTATTACACTACTAGCAAGCTGCTTTGGACAGTTGCTGCCAGTAAATGTTTCCACTTGTTTTTCCCTTCCTGGAACCTTCCCCTGGTTTGACCTGACAGCTGTGTCACTGAGAAAGTCTCTCTTTAGCCAGCTGCTGGAAAAGAGAGAGCTTCTCTGGTGCCATCTGATGCCTGGTGCTCTACTGTACAGGCACCCTCTGGAGACTGTCCTACAAAGCCATGTGGGCAGGTCAGCACCAAGACATCTCTCACTTCAGCTGCAGTGGAGCCTAGTGTGATACCGGATGACAAATCTCCATTATCCACAGCTGCTTCCAACAGTTTCTCAGAAATTCCAGAGGAAAATGCTGAGTATGATTCTAAATCTTCACAAACCATAATGAAGCCCATGAAGAATGCTTTGCTGAGATCTCATCCCAGCCTTTTCATGGGACTAAACAGTGCAAGAACCAGCACTGTTAACTCTCAGACTCTAAACTATTCCAGCCAATAACCCTATGCACACATTTTCTTCTATGAGTTTCATTCTCTACACTGCTCAGCAAACTTGCTTATTCCTGGTTGCCTGAGCATTTTTTTTGTCTGAATTTGCTTATTACATAGTCTTCTTGGCCTATGAACTGCTTCAGTTTCACTGTGTTTCTATTGCAGCTTCAATACAAAACTGAATTAAAAAAACAAATTACAGTTATTTTGTAGTGGCTGCAGCTTTGGTGTAACAAAGTAAACAGGATCAGGCCCAGTCTTTTTTAAATTTTTTTTTTATTCCCCATGAGGGATCTTGAGAAAGCCATTGAATCCTGACAACATACTAAAGATTTAGTCAGGAGTGCTCTTTCTGTTGAGCCAGGCTTTCATCAGCACTTCTACTTCCTTGTTGGTCATAATGCACCCCAGACTATAATCCCCACCACCACAGACTATATGATATGTCCTTCAAGGAAAAAGCAGGTAACTGAATACTCTGTCCAAATCCACTCAGGACAAAGCAATTTTTATTCCCTAAATTCTCTAGTTCAGTATTCTTTTGTACTTTCTGCCACCATCTATCATGTGTTTCAGTACTGTTTACCATGACAAAACACTGCCTGCCTGGTTTGCCTCACAGGAAATAATTTCTGTGGCCAAGGATTAGTTATGCATGTTGCACTTAGACCCCTTGCTTAATTATGATTGCTGATAGCAGCTGTCACCACACCTGTACACCAGTTATTGTATATGCCATTTATCTGGGTTTCAGAGCAAGCCCAGTCTGCAGACACTGAAGCCTGGGAGAAATCTATTCACTTGAGCATCTGGGCAGTTCTTATCAATCACTTGTGCCTAAAATATGTCTTTGATTGTGGTTTTGATCTTTTTTAATCATCTGTGAAGCAGAAGTGAAAAACAGACAATGGTAGAGTCTGATCAACAACCTCCACTTCACTTAGTTCCTGCAAGCAACAAAGTATTGCAGAAAAGAGACAATGTGGGAATGGGTTTGGTGTAATAAGATATCTGAGAGTTGCAGTGGCAGTGCAGTGCACAATATTTTGTAATTGTGAAAAGGTGGAACTGTACCTCCTTGAACAATCTGCCAGGTAATAAGGGTACAGTCTGCTGTGGCTGCTGGGCTTCTTACAAAGGCAAAAATGCAGTATGAGTCTCTAATTCTGCCTCTGCATGTCCTGTGATGCAGGGAGAGCATCCACTCCCACCACGGTCTGGGATCCTGGCAAAGAAGGAGCTGTATTGTAGGGCTCCAGTCCTGCTTTTTGGATAAACTGTGAGAAAGTGAGCGCATCTGCTTTCTCTCCTGTTGGTGCCTTTCTCTCCAGGAAGAGACCCATATTGTCTCTGTATGGGAGGGCAATGGATCTGCTGAAGAGAGGCTCCTCAATCCCCAGCAGCTCTCGCACGTGTCGTGAAATTTCCTGGAATACAAGAATACACCAGAAATTCTCATTTCTCAAACCAAGACAATCAGGCAACAGCTAAAACCATCTGTTCCATGTCAGAGCAGCAGGAAAAAGAAGTGATATTCTGGATTTTGGTACAGTTTCATGCTTGAGGTTGCAACACAAGGGGATCTGAATCCATAAGCTCCATGTGACACTGTAAAAGCAGTGCATATCACCTTCTCTGCAGATTTACTATCAGGGATGGCATCACATCTGGTCTCTTAGTGGCACAAATATAGCTCTGCTTTCATCCTTGCACTTCAAGGACAAATAAGTTATGGATAAATGAACTGCAGTCACTTATGCTTAATGCAAAATCATTGCTGTTTGTTAAATTATAATGCAAATTACAATCTACACAAAGGTGTAAAAAATAATTAGCAAAAAATCATATTATTCATTTAGAAAATGACGAGTGCATGGCTGTCTGAGATGGCTGGACCTAGAACTGTGAGTGAGCAGAGCCTTATCATTGTTTTTGAAGCAACTCCTAAGAATTTAACTATCTAATTTGATTCAAGCTTCAAAATACAACTTGCAAGGTTTTACTGATCTTTCACAGTATTTGCTCAAAACCTTTCCCCAACTTTAGCTTGACCCTGAATATTTTTTGTGATAACAAAAGAACACGAGACTCTTATCTTAAGTGCTTTTGATATTTAGAATACCAGTGCAGTGGGATTAAAACCAGCAGTAACGTCATTTGTCCACGCTGCATAGCTTCCACATAATTATCTGTGTAATCTCTACCAAACTGCCATTTCCCCGAAACTGCAAACAGTTTCCGTCTCACTGAGCTGATGCTATCACTCTTATTTCTATAGTAACTGTATCAGTTTCAACTGCTCACAGCCTTTCGTTTACATTTCTTGTTGGGAAATTGTAGTTTTAACTTTTCACCTGCTCTAATAGACACTTCCTGAAAGACCCAAAAGGCCACATCCTGCAGAGCTCTGCATACTTGGATTCTGTCAGAATAAAGTTCTTTAAAACACAAATAACTGGCAGGATAGGGCATGACCTTTGAGGCCGTCTAGGTTTCACTGAAATCTCTGAGATGTTCCCAATTTATTTGCAAGCTTTGGAATACACTACTGAGACAGTCTCATTTCCAAGCTTGTGGCAGTGTCCTGGCTGTTCATTGCTTATCTAGAGGAATTTCAGTTCCTACAAGAGGAAGAATGGGTCACGGTTGATATGTCTAACCCATGGCCTACAATCACTCAGCAGCTGAACTGACACCATACATAATCCCTATATTCCACTACGAGGGTGAGGCTTACAAAGCATACACAATTCTTCCACTTTTGGAAAGCACAGAGGACTATAGTCTCTATCTGCTTGTACCAGAAATATTCATGAAGGTTTGCTGTCTGAAAAACTTAGTGTTAAACTGATGCCTTTCTGTCAGAACAACAGGCAAAGTCACGGCACTAGTTAATGGTGTTGGTGGCATATTTAGTTTCAAACAAACTGTTAAGATTGTGCAGCCAGACAGAACTGTGGTGAAATTGCACTTTGGTATTGTGGAACAAAATAAACAGTGCCTAGTCACTGCAGCATACAGCTTCTTCTTTCTTCTTGGTTTGAACATCTACCTGAGCCTTCTGGTGAAAGCAACTTAAAATTGTGATGCAAAACAGATTATTTGGCTCTGTAAGTGGAGTCCCTCTGTGATTTCCACTAGGGGAGGGAAAGAGGGTAATGAAATTTAAGTCAATTTATTGATTTTCTGAACTTTTAGGAAGCTTTGGAAGGCCAGACTGTAGCCCCAAAATTCAGCCTTAACTATCAGCGTTTGTTAAAGAAAACATGTAGCTTTGAAAGGAAAAAGACCAATTACACGTTCACAAAATGAGGAAGAGACAGAGCTCCTGTTCGTGTGCAGCAAAGCGCAGCAGAAGGAAGCAGAGCCGAGCGGCCCTTCTGCACCTGCATGTGGCCGAAGTCGGTGACGCCCATGGCGGGCAGGCCGGAGCAGTTCGCGTGGATCAGGCGGCGGCCGCTGACGCCGTTGGCCCTGAAGCATTCCTGGGCAGGGGAGCGCAGGGAAAGGCGGATGGCCCTGTGCCCTGCCGCCCCCGCCGCTCCCACACACACACACACACCGGGCGGGGGTTCCGTCCGGGCCGGCAGCCCCGCACCTCGTACTGGGGGAAGCCGAGCTGCGCCACCCACTCGGCCACTTCCTCGGCGCTCCAGGTCAGGAAGGAGCAGTCGGACGGCGGTCCCTCGAGCTGGGGCTGCGGCCCTTCAGCCGCCCCGCTCCCCGCGGGCCCCGGGCGCGGCTCCATCGCTCCGTCCCCGCGGCAGCGCGTCGGTCCGGGCCCGTTACCGTGGCAACCGCCGCTTCCTGGAGCCGCGCCCCGCCCCCTGCGCCCGCAGCGCCGCCCGCGCCCCGCGGCCCCGCAGAGCCAAACGCTGATTGGCTGCGAGCGGGGCGCCGGAGGGGGGAGCGCCGAGGCGCCGCCACCTCCCTGCGGCCCGGCTCACACGCGCTCGCTCGGGTGTTTCCGTCTCCCGCGCTCGGGCGTTTCCGGCCGCCCCTGTCCGGGCACGCTCGGCTGTTTCCGGCCGCCCGCCGAGCCGTGCCCATGTCGGACGCGCTCTCCGCCGCCGCCGGCTGCCGCTCCGAGCCCCCGGGCGGCGACACCGCGCCCCCGGGCCCCGCAGGTACGGGCAGGGCTGGGCAGGGCAGGGGCAGCCCGGCGGCGCGTGCTGAGCGCTGGCCTCACGGGGAGAGTTCCCTTTCCGTGGGGGGTTTGCCCGTCTCTGCCGGGAGGCAGCTCCCGGTGCCGGAGCCCCCGCGGTGCCGGTGCCGGAGCCCCCGCGGTGCCGGCGCTCAGCGGCCGGGCCGGGCTGCGGTCTCTGCGGCTCACCTGCCGCTCGGGCAGCTGCAGCTGCAGCGAGAGTTGCTCCCGGAGCGGCGGGAAGGGCGGGGATTGATGGAGTTGGTGCTTTCCCCGGCGACAGAGGCCCCGTGCCGCCGGAGCCGGACCGTGCCGCGGGCTGCGTGCCCCTGGGCCCGAGCCGCCTGCTCCGCCCGCACCCCTGGGAACGGCCCGCGGCTCCGAGGGACACCGGCAGCCTGCCCCGGCCCTGTTCGCTGCCTTAGCGCCATCGGAGAGCAGGGCTGGGACGCACGCACCGCGCTCGTGTGGGGACAGAGCTTTCCCTGCCTTGAGGAGAGCCGGGGAGGACCAGGAGCCATCTTTACAGAGGCTCCTGTTAGCCCCGACCTAGGCATTTCCATCTCGTCCGTGCCCTCTCTGAACTGCTGCACGACTGCTTTTCCCAGGGCTTTGTCAGCTCAGCTTTACATGATGGAATTTAGCCTTGTTCTGGCCTTGTAAAGCAAAGCTAGGATGAGTAGTTCCTGAATGAACCCTGCTTCTGAGAATGGCTTCACACCAAAAACATGCCAAGATTTTTATTCTCCCTTTCCTAGGGTTGAGGTCATTAAGAATCTTTGCTCTGCAAGGTTCTAGATACAGCTTATAACACGAAAAACTGGTTGGCACAGGTGTTTGTTCCACAGATGTCTGACCTTGTCGGTGTCTGAGTGCTGGCTGCAGGGTTTTTTTTCTCCTGCCAGTGTATTATAAACACCAACATTTACTTCACCTTCTCTTCCTATATTGTTTGTTGTTAGAAAATGAAGACTCAGCCCAAAAGACAGAGCCTGCAGATCAGCTAGTTGATTCTTTGGAATCCAGTACTTCACAGAGCGGGTAGGAAAACCTTTTTGTGTGTTGTGGCCCACATGCATGACAGTCTGTTTCTCTGCTGTGACCTCTTCTGTATGGCAGTTTGTCCTACACAGGTAAAAAGAAGGGACTGGAGACTGAATTGTCTACTTTGGGACAGTATCTACCAGAATCAGTATGTTCTTACAGGCTTTATGGTTGTTTTAAAGCTCGTGAAATGTAGTTCCTGGCTCAGGTATTCAAACCACAGAGTCATTCAGCTTGAGAGGAACCCTGTGCGGTTTTATAATCCATTATAAGAGCTAGTACATTTTCAGGGGGAAATTTTCTCTATCCTATCTGGAAGATACTTTAATAATTAAGTATGCCTACTGTCTGTAAATCTGGTCAAAGCTGTACAAGAAAATACCTTTTACTGTTTTCTTGACAACATTTTGGCTTTTTTCTTCATAGTTTGTTTTCCGTGTCTCTGCATTAATCCTGTTGATCAACCCTGTTATCAGATGTTTGGCTTGTTGGTACCGGCTGGGCATGTGGTGTTTGTGGCCAAGTAATTTAATTGGCTACAAGCATTAACACTATGCAGTGCAGTTTAATTTGCCATTATACATTTGTTGCAGAGGATACAATTTCCTAAATGTGTGAGTTAATTACAGTAGGTAAACCACAGCTTCATCAAAAAAAAGCAAAAATCCAGGAAAAAAAGAACCCACATCAAACTACCATTCTTACCAAAACAGCAGTTTGATGCCACTGACATCTCTATCAGACTTCCTGACTATAAATGACTTCTTACATCTTTTTATTATATCCTATAATTTTCTTTAAAGAGATTAATACAGACTGTGAGCGAAATAGCCACAGTACATTATAGATACTTGTGGACATTACCTATTAAATTGGTCTTAATTTAGATCTTCTTTGAAAGGGATGGAGATGGTCCAAAAGGTTTGTGTGAGAAGGAATCAGCTGAACTGTGTCTTTGTAAGTCTGCCTGTAAAGCTTGTGTAGCTCTTCCTAATCTTTCAGTGAGATTCTTAGGTATCAGCGGTATCTAGAGGAAAAATTTCCCAGCCTGTAAGCTCCTGTGTTGATGGAGAGCTTTTTGAGCAGACGTGTGCACCTATGGTAGCAAATGACCAAATAGTCCATCTAGGTGTGTTCGTGCAACTGCTAAACTGAAATGCAAACAGGCTGGAAAACGATAGCCTAGAACTCCAAGAATTCTTCTTTTAAAAAATTGTTCCCACTAAATAGCCTTCTTATCTCATCCATCTGCTGCCATTTTGTGAGCTTGCTGTTCATCTTGTTTGAGTTGTTCTTACAGACCTTCTGGTCCATCGTGCCAATTCTACGAAAGGAAATCACACTGTTGAGAGAATATAAGTAAAAAATGGTTTTGTTTCTGGATAAATTCTGCAGTGCCATAAGAGTAACAATTTGAAAACAAAAGCCACATTTGCCCTGTTCAAGTTTTCTCTGTGGATGCACAATGTGTCAGGACACTCTTCTGGCATCTGAGTTCGTTTGGGACTATAAGTCTACCTATAGGCAACATGCAGCAAATTAAAAAATATCATTTAGAAGAAAACCCTCAACAGAGAATAAATGCCAGCAATGTTTCCTTTCTTGCCCATTCTTTTCCTGCTTTTCTTGCTATGTACCATTCTTGTTTTAGCATGTGCATTTTCTTTTGTTACAGTGCAGTACTCAGACCTCTTTGCTTAAGTTATTGTGCTGCCCATTGTATGTCTTACTGCTTGCTTATCTGTGGGGTGTACTTGGACATGGCAGAAACAAGGAATACCCGAGTGTCTTTCTGTTGGGATTGCTAGTAGGAAAGGCATAATGGGCTGCTTAAATAGATGGCATTCTCAGGATGACTGTCAAAATTGTTCTGAATTCTTTCACCGATCCAGTTGACCTCTGAGGCAGTATGCAGATGCCATGCAGTAGCTGGCATAAAAGTTGTTCTTTCTTGGGCAGAAAAGTTGCTACTGATATCTGTCCTTAGTATAGTGTTGATGAGCCAGCATGGGGTGAGTGCAGTGAATTTCTGCCATCTAAAGGATGGTAAATATGGAGTATCCCAAGGAAGTTGCTCCCCCTGGCTCACATGGAAAGCAATCATGCAGAGATGGCAGGACTGGGGTGGGCAGGGGTTCTTTGTCCACTTGGCAGGTGCTGACCACTGAAGCTTGTTCCTTCAGCTCATTTGAACTTGAGTTCCAGAGCAGTGATTCCTCTGCTGGCTGTGCCCTGGGTGCAAGTGCTGAATTGTACTGCTCTCTTCCTCCAAAAGGTCACAGGCTGGGGCGCGCCTGAGCGTGGACACAACAGAGCATTTGAAAGCAGAAATTGGCACTCTGGGGGACCAGAAAGCTGCTGAACGAGAAGAGAAGCTGCCTGACCAAATCCAACCTCTCAGAAAGGTAGATGAATGTTTCTTATGTCTGAGAACGAAGACAGAAGTGCAGCAACAGTTCTCCCACTCTACTACTATGCTTGCCACTGTGGGACTGAGGCTCTAAGGATTGTGTTAAGATAAAAGTATTATTAACATAGATTCAGTTACATTTTCCTGTACATCAGTGGGAGATAAATGGTATCAGTCTAATTTGCAAAATCCCTCTTGTGTCTTCAGCTGGTCCTTGCTTCCTTGCTCACTTAGGCTTCAAGGTCACCTTCTACTCTTATCTGGTGCTTCTGGAAATTCCATTTTGTGGATTTATGGAAGAGGGAACTGAAATCCCTTGACCCTCTTGGGTCTTCAGCTAGTCCTTGCTTCCTTGCTCACTGAGGCTTCAAGGTAATTGTCACCTTCTGCTCTTATCTGGTGCTTCTGAAAATTTCATTCTTGTGGATTTATGGAAGAGGGAACTGAAATCCCTTGTTTCTTCTTGTGAGCAGCAAATTTGTTTACCCTACAGATAGAGTCAGGGAAACCGGTGCAAGTGACACCGAGTTCAGGACCTGCAAGTTTGCATGTATGAGAAGAGAGTGAACCAGATGGACTTCTAACTAGGATGCAGCAATGGCAGTTTGATTGTGGCTGTAGTCTAGACGCACACAGAGCTGAAAGGCTCTCCCTAGAGAGACTGACTGTTGTGAATTTTTTCCAAGATTTTTCGGCTAAATCTATAAGGCTGCTGCTTTGTTGAGGGGTGACAACTCTGATGCAAGTGCAAAAATGTGCCTGCCCAGGACCCTGGGAGACCAAGGGGGGTGAAATTTGTGACACTGATACAGCATTTGACTTCAAAGTTCATTACTTTGGTGCAGTGGGGGAAACAAATGCTGAGAGGTGTCTCAGAGCTAGCCTACACTAATAATAGAAGCTTCTGCAGGTCTGACTTGGTTTCATAAAGGTGCCTGAGTTACTACTGAGTTGTTTCAAACCTAGGCAGAGACTTTTTAACCAGGTGGTCTTTGTGACAATGTTTCTTATGTGCTTGGTGCAGGAAGCTGTTCGATTAACCAACTACCATGTGCCTCAGGGAGTAGGGGATATAGTCATGATTCAGTCAGATCACACTGGTGCTGTGGATATCCTTTCAGCTGAGCTGGAGACTGCAGACCTCCTTGGGGAGCAGAGAAAAGGTGAGTCCTGAAGGCAGAACTATTGTTAGGGTGATTTTTTAAGTGCCTGCC